GGTTTGCTTTAAGGAAAAATTCTCATCTAAGTTTACAAACATTCATTTGGTATAATCCAAAGAAATAACTTACTAACTTGCAGAAAGTCTACTCATTACTAGTGATCCTGCAAGTTCTCTTTGCATTGTTAGCTCCATGGTGGACTGTGTATACTTCATGCTGTACTCATATATATCTGTTCAGTCCCTAAGAGGATCTTCAGAGGCTCCCTTCCAGGTGTCCGGGCCAAATCAAATGGGGCAATTAGCAACGAAGGAAAGGGCCTTTTCAGAGGCAGCACACAAACTGTAGAACACCCTTCCCATATAGGCTCACTTGGTACCTGTGATATTTTAGAGCCAGGTGAGGACTTAAAAAAAAATCCAAGGATTTTAGACCTTTAGTGTTTCTTGTTTTAAATGAGTTACAGTATGTTTAGATGATTACACTACTGATTGCCTTTTATATTGTATGTGTATACTTTTAAAAGTTTTCTATTATGTGTTATACTATTAGTTTATTTCAGAGGCTTAACCGTTTATGAACCACCCGTAGAGCACTGGTATTGGAGAGCATAGGAATAAAAAATGAATGGAGGGATGAATGGATGGATGGATGGATGGATGAATGGCAGGGTGAACAAGCCACATACAAACTTGTGCTTAGTGTTCTCTCAAAGGCAACACTGCCCAGTTCTGCCCACAGTTTGTTGGTGTTCTGCTATCCAAACTGGATGCACAGCAGCTACACTTCTAGATTATCATCACACATTATTTTTGAGCCACACCAGCTGATACAAAGTTTGAGCTCACACAATGCTTCCGCTCTTTCAGTTGAATAGCAGAGTGGGTGTATGGAAATGTCATCATTTTGGCAATCAGTCAAACTATTAAGGGCTCTGCTGGAAGGCCAAGCTGATTCTGTTGTGCTGAATGGCATGGAGATCTGCAAGGGCAGGGGCAGAGAGAGAAAGAAGTGCTGCTGAGGTTTTAGGAAAATAAGAGGGGTTTTCTTCTGCTAAATCAGGGGTGTGGTGTGCTTTTTGTTCTATTTATTGACCTGCAAGGGAAGACACAAAGTATTTAAAAATAGCATCCCCCACCCCAAAGTCCTGTATTGGCAAGGAGAGTGATAATGAAACAGAAATAAGTTTGTCCAAGCATGCACAAACCTTTCCTGCAAGAAACCTCCATTCTCCTTTGCAAGGTCAAAAGGCTGACTACTGTGCCTAATTCTGACACAGATACTCCTGCTGAAATGCTGACAGGAGAAGGTGCCCAAAGCCAAGGGGTGTGGGTGGGGTGGGAGTTGGCTCCAGTCGCCTGCTTTTAATAGCAGCCGGGCACTGCGAAATGTAGCAGAGGAGGCTTTCCAGCCACGTTATCTCTCTGCATAACATTGCATTCTTCATTCTGGTCCTCTTCATGAGAGGAAAGGGCCTTTGACAAGAGGAAGGGACCTTCATGGAAGGAAGGCTCTGCTGCTCAGTTGTGCACTGCCCACTGCCAGCTTCCCCCACACCACTGCTCTTGACTTGTAACATTTTCCGGGGGCTGGAGAATTTGCCCTGGAAGGAGGCATGGAGGAACCCCACTTCTGCCAGCACAGTCGATCCAGCACCCATCCGGATCGATCTCTCTCGGTCTCGGTCTCTCTCCTATCAACAGCTCTGGCATTGATTATGGAAATTCTTTGAGCAAATGGCAGCAACTCCGACAGCTGAACTTATGCAGATGGAAGAAGCAATGTGTGAACAATCTAGTTTAGGGGTGGGAACCCAGTGGATCTCCTCACCTCTGCTCCCTGGGCTCTGGCCTTCTTTCTCTCTGACTTCAGCCCACCTCACACCAAACGCCTGCAGGGGTGTCTGGCAGAAAGTGAGCGAGCAAATACGTGATGCCAGTTTGCACACACACTGCCTGCTCCCCTGCTGGGCACGTGGGGTTCTCCTTCCACACACAAGACTTACGGGCTTGGTGTAATCTGAATAAAGAATTATGTATTTTGTGTACTTTATGCAAAGAACGACATATTTTGCATTCTTTGTACAAAGAAGTTGCTAGCATTCCCAAGCATTTGTGGATCGGATTTCAGCTTGGCTCACTTCCTGGCTAAGGGTGAACAAAGGAAACAAGTCCAGCGAGAGCAACAGAGCCTGCTCTTGGCATCCCTAGATGGAAGCAAGAAAACAGAGCTATATGAGTAAATGTATATATGAAAAAGCCAACTAGAGCGGCAATATCCACCAAACACCGTTTTGCAAATCCTCTAATGACTGACCCAAAGCACTTCTCTTGATTGCTTCAGGTGTAACAGACTCCTCACAAGAATACAGGCAGCTCTGCCCATCTATCACTGGTGTCCTCTCCCTACTGCTATGGTAAGAATTGGTAATTCTGTATACTTAATAATCACAGGCCCAAACTAATTTCCCTTTTGTCTTTAGTGAAACCGATGTGCTATCTCTAGGACTGATATTGTTTTACTTGAGCAGGGCTTTTTTGGTAATGTTATAGTGGCCTTTTTAGGTATTTTAAGTTGTTCTATAACATGAGTGGCTTTGAATTCACTACATGAAGAAAAGAGAAAGAGAAGGATTTGTTAGCAAATAAAAAGTACAATTAAAAAGCTGATACTAGGGAAAAATAATAAAAATACAAAACCAGATGAAAAGTATGGTTTATGAAAAGTATATGAAAAGTAAGCAATAGTTCCTTGCCTATGAGGAAGCACAGGAATGTTAGCATTTTGGACACTGGACGAAGAACCATGCATTTCATTTTTATCTGCTTATATTTTCTAGCCATGTCTGCAGCACTTCAATAGCTGTCCAAGCTGGATTTTTCTATAATTAGCCTATGGGTGCAATTTTCAGTAGAATTGTGTTACTCTTTTTAATGTGGCTTTACCAGTGGTCTAGGTTTACTTCTAGCTGGAAAGCAATCCATACTTCCTTACAGAAGAATTGCTAAACCTTTGCAAATGCATTTGTTTACTATTAGGCAATTAGGCATAAAGCAGAAGTGTGGGGTTCAACTGACAGATTAAAGGCAACAAAGGCTCAGGGGAGAAGGGTGGCATTTTCCATTTTTTACTGCCCATGGGAACTTTCACTGAGTGAGGATAGCATCATTTTCCTTGTCCATCTGGAACCAGGATGCAATTCCAACAAGCAGAAAGTTAATGCTGGAATTGCCATTTGAGGATATCACACAGCTGTTGTGGCCACTACCTTCAGCTGGACACCTGAATGCAGCACAAAGAGCAATGTAACTTTCACACGGAGGCTGATATCTCACTTCCTCATACCATTTTCCTCTCCTCTGAGAGCTACCCTGGCTTTCTGGTGACATCTTTGCCCATATCATACAAAGAATGCATGGTCTCAGAAGAAGGCAGAAGGGCAAGAGGCCACGCCATGAGCCAGACCTGCCGGGTGTACAAGTTCCTTGCCGTTCGCGGCCTCCTTGCAAGCCCTCAGGCAGCCCCTCTGATCTTTCCATTCATTTCGCTAACTCACTGCCTGTGTAGGTCTGGGGGATGCATGAGTTTGGCAAGTCTGTCAGGAAAGGCACGAAATGCATCCCTTTAGCATATTAGTGAGAAGACTGGAAGAAGTACATGGACACCAAGAAAAATGAAAGAGAAACTAGCACCAAGTTCCTGACACGTGAACTTCCAAACAACACGTATTTCTACTCTTTTGAGCTGAATGGCGTTTGATCAGCCTCGTATCACAGTGGGATTCTTCTGTATCAGATGAGGCAGAAGTGAAGGAAGCATGCACTGAGCAAGCTCCACCAAAAGGACTCTCACCACAACTGGTAGGGACTGTTTGGGTAGAACAGCTAAAAAGATAATGGGTGAGGAAGTTCAGGACACAAGGAGTGGCCCCAGCACACTCCATAGCTAAATGCTTTCCGCTCCAAACACCAACACTTTAGGTTGACCTCACAGGGAGCTTCTCACAACGACTTGGCAATAGTTGCTTCCCATCTGACCTTGCCAGGCAATGTTCTTCAGATTATGTTCCTAATAAGAAATGATTTGCATGTGCTCATTTAGTCAAGAGGCATCTTCCTTAAATATAATCAGAAAACCACCTTCAATGAGGACCCTGTGTGTTTAAACATAGTGCAATCCTAAATAAGTTTACTCAGAAGAAAGTCTCATTGAAGTCAGTGGGTTTACCACCTAGTAAGTGCACTTCGTTCTGCAGCCTTAACTGGTGTATTTATCAGTTAATGATGAGCTATCTGATACTGCAGTTTTTGCTTTGCTTCCCTGCACATGTTATTCCTGTTGCTGAAAGAAATGACAAATTATCTTCTATGAAGGAATGAGAAATGTGTTTGGCTCCACAAGAGACTTGCACGAACTGCAAGCTCCAGGATCCAAGTGGGAGTTGAAAAAGTCAGAAGTCAGTTGAGTGGATTACTCACTCACACAAAATATTTTTGTTTGCACTCAGACAGAGAGACGATTTGCAGAAGCCATGCCATGCTGAAAAAAATCAGCTCTACAAAAATATCCTTCCTTCTTATCCAAAAGTTAGAATGGACATCAACTATTCATATGGTAGACCATTCAGTGACTTTGCTGTCTCCAACCTTAAATGGCTTTCATGAAAGCTATTCTTCTCAGATGAGCCTTCCCGAAGTGTGAGACTGCAGTTCTCAGTATTCCAGGCCCATGTGCTGGCTGGGAATGTTGGGAACTGCAGCCCAAAACATTCAGGGGGTGTCATATTGGAGAAGGCTGCCTTCCACAAATTCTCCTGGCAAGATGTGTGGCCAACGGTCCATTCCCACTGATGAATTGCTCCAGACTTCTGGCACATGCCGAGGAAGATAGCTTTTATCACAAGACAGATTTCTCTGCAACGGCTCAGTGAGCATTTCCACTTGACAAGCCACTCCTGACAGAGTTCACCTCAGCCTCCACAGTGCCTTTTCTGTCTCCTAAATTATAGCTAAGTAAGAGGGCAATTAGGTTTCAGCAATTAAAATGATTTACTCACCATATGTAACAGCCGGAGCATCTCCACATACCTGTGAAAAAGAGACACAGTTTTATTAAATTGCCAACCAACTGCGCTGAATGAATCAATGTGGAATGTGTCGCTCGGCCTGCGAGATAACAGCAAAGCACATTCTTCGGCTGATGGACTCACACTTTCTCTGAAGACACAAGTTCCTGGGCGATGAGATGGGCTCTGGAGTGTCCTTCTTTCTGTTCAAAACAAACAAAGCAAAGACTCAAAAGTGTTCCAAGGCTACGCGGTAGAAATCATGAAGGAGCAAAGAATGCTCTCACTCTGCCTCCTCCGGTTTAGATCCTGTCGTTTAGAATGGTCAAGGTATTATCGCTAGTATTTCGTATAAACCTCAGAAAAGAAAATCTGCAGGCAAAGTACAAATGCAGAACAAATCCAAGGCCAATCAATTAAATAATAAAATCCTAAACACCCCTAAAAACCTGGCGAAAGAAGAAATATTGAGCACAAAGCGTAGTCAGCAATGTCACGTGAGTGCTAATAAAAAATATGCAACGCAGGCATAAGAGATCTCTAATGCAATGCCAGCTATGTTAGCTGGTGGAGCAGATTTTCTGGAGAATCATGTTGCACCAACAAACTCTACTGGAGTTGTCCAAGAGTTTCTTTATTTATCGTATTCATAGACCAAAGTTACCAATGAGCTTTCCTGAAAGGAAACCTCTCAATGACCCTGAGAGCTATTGAAGGGCCCAAAGTTGCCATGGAGTTACTCAGTGTCTAGGTGAGTAGGACGTAGAACCTGTATCTCTTGGGTTCCAGTCCAACTATTCTCCGAACTGGCTCTCAGAGCTCCTTTTGCCTGTTCAACAAAATTTGTGTGAATACTCCTGTTGCAATGGATGCTGCCCAAATTTTTTTACACACACACAGAGGTAAAATTAACTTAGAGCTAAAAACCTTCCAACAACCATCAACTGCAGAGACATCAGTAATAGGAATCTTTGTGATTATTACATGATCTGTAAAAGCTTTTAAAATCCCATTAATTTTGAATGAATGGTGCCAAAAGGACAAAAAAGTGGATGCTGGGGAGACCTCTCTAATGGAAACATTCTGCAGCTGGGGGCACACTGCAAAGGAGGCAATTCCACTCACTGCTAGTCCCCACAGATCAGACTGAGAAGGTGCTCAGAGGAACTTAGACCATGGGCAGGAAGAGGCTCCAAGTCATGCGGAACTTAATAGGGAGCCTTGACCTGGGCCTGAGCATGAACTGAAGCCAGTAGAGTCAGAAGACTGGCTTAACATGTTTATAATACCAAGTCTTGGTCAAAACTGTCACTGCCATATTCTGCCCCATCTGAAGTTTACAAACCATCTTTGAGACAGTCTCATGCACAACACATCACAGTTTTCCACATGGAAAGATTCCAGCTATGGACCAGTGGGAAGGCCAGTCTTAAACATTCAATCCTACAAGCCCATGTCCTGACATTGTTGTGCCATGCAACAGATGCAAGCTACCCTAAACCCTGTCAGACAGCAGGACAGACAGCCTCTTTCAGCCACCTAATGCAAAAAGTTGGCTTGGTGGTCATCTTTTCCCAGTCGTGGCAAGCATGGCCAAGAGGGTGTCCCACTGAAGGAATACTGCAGAAATAATGAAGAAGTTTGTATAAATCACCCTTAAATGTATTCATCCTTGGCCACTGAAGGCCATGGTGTATTTGAAAAGTAACTACCTTGTTCTAGATACAGTAGATACGTATCAAGAACACATCTTTTGATGGGGCCCAAGAAGCTCTGTGGTTGTGCTTGGGCATGTGCCCTCTGCACACTGAATGTTAGCGGATCCTGTGGTGGAACCCAAGGATTGGGGTAGAGTTCATGTACAATGCCCAACCCATTTCCCTGACTTTCAGTGACCCCTGAAATCTATTTGTAAATATCTGATCTGTGGCACAAGACTTGTTTTAGACAATTCAAAACTAGCCATGGTAAATGCTGTCTTCTATTATGGAATTTGATAATGAAAGGATACCAAATATGAAATGAAGACCAATGAAAGGAAGATTAATGAAACAAAGACCAGACATGAGATGGACTGAATCCATAGAGGACGCCGTAGCCTTGAACTTGGAAGAGCTGAATGGAGCTGTCATGGACAAGACATTTTGGAGGGCTTTCCTTCATGGGGTCACCATAAGTCAGAGATGACTTGACAGCACATACCGCAATGACATGATGGGAGAGTCAATTATGTAGACCTTCGGTTGGATGTTCCTTTTGATGGCAACATCCCAATGCTCTTCCAAAGGAACTTGGCTCTCCTTCCCTCCCACTATTACACATTGCTGAATGCTCTACTGAGCCCTCCATAGTCTGCATGCAAAAAAATGCCCCTGCTCCTAAAGAGGGTATTGATAGTCGGCCTGTTCTAACTGTTGATAACCTGTCGATAACGACACAGCAGCGGCACAGCATGAAAAGTCAGGCCCGATCCTATATATTTATGCAGTGCGAACAAGAGTCAGGATGCGTCTGTTCCCCCATGCAGAGATTTAGGCACAGCCCTGTTCATGATTAGGAAGAAGAAAGGCCAACACAGGGCTGCCTCCTTTGCTTCCACGTCCTGTGGGCAGGAGGCAGTGCCCTACAGCATGGCAGTGCCAGGAGAAATGTGTGAGGAATCCAGTTCACAGGAGATGGGAATCTGCCAGATTTCCTTTGCTTGGCTCCCTGGACTTCAGCCTGCATGCTCCCTGTCCTAGGACCACCTCAACCTGACTGTTTGCATGGGCATCCCGCAGGAAGTGAGTCCAGGCAGGAGAACATGCTGCCCTCACGTCCTCTGTGCCAGCAAAGTTTTGCTTCTGCGCATACAACTTGTGGGCTTTGCATACTCTGCACAAAGAATTGTGTATTGTGCACGAAAAGGCTGCTAGCTTTCACGAGCATTTGCAGACTTGATCTCAGCCCAGCTTGCTTCCTGGCCAGCCCTGAAAGAAGTCCAGCAAGCGAAAAAGAGCCAGAATGCATCCCCAGGTGCCAGTAACTTACACTAAAAACACGTTAACACATTTGTCTGTAAATAGCACAAGTGGGGACAAAAAGAGAACAGACACAGGGTGCTGGAAATTAGGAAGAGTCAGCTCATGTGTGCCACTTAAAACTGAAGAACTCCAGTTAGTTGTCGGCATTCTCTATGTTTTTGACATTTACTTAAACACAGATATCAGTAAAGGGAATATGCAGCCTAGATTAGTTTTGTGATCTGTTAAGTGATGTAACATTTCCTGTAACCACAAATGATAAAACTGTGGCAATGTCATCCAAATGTCAAGGAACCGTGCTTAAAAAGCCCTAAAAAGTGAACTAGGCTTAGTTCATAAACTAGAATGCACAAACACACATTAAATCAGATAGAGCAGACCTGGTCAAATGAGCAGGACTTAATATTGAATGCAACCCTCTGAATAAGAGAGAGGGAGAGAACATGCATATACATCAATGCACGTAACAGTGGCAGGAAGACCCGCAAATGCACGCTGGCCACTCGGCACGTCCTCCATGGATGGGCTGGGCTCAAATATGCCAAAGAGCAGCACATATTTCACCACTGACCAAGGCTCCCTCTCCCATCTTGTATACAGTTTGTCGCAGTCAGTAATTCTGCTCGTGATTAATTTGTCTTGTGGCAAAAGTCAAAACACTGGGACCCCCTGTGTCACATGGCCTGTCTAGGGCGAGTTCAGAGACCATGTCTCTCTCTAGGCGTTGCCCCGTCTTGTGTTGTTAATTGCTGTTTGTTTAACCAGGAAATGAACTCCGAGATTGACGACAGTGTCCGGAGACAGACTTCTGGGAACAGAGAGATGCAGGGAGTGGAGATCCTTCCACTGTTAGGTTCCTAACTCTGAACCCCAGGTGCCCCCGAAATACGAAGACCTACCGCTTCATTTTAGCGACCCCTGCCAGGGGTGCTTGAGCCAGCTGGTGAGTGAGCGCTTTGTACCCTTCCTCCCCAGACTCCTGCTTCCCAGTAGCAGCAAAGACTCCAGTCCCTGCTGTTCAGCCTGAACTTCGCTGAGGGGAGCCATGGATCTCACAGACACCCCGGCTCCTTGCCTAGTCAAGTCCCCATTGCCTTTAATAGCTTTATCTTCCTCAACATCTAAGGGCCTTTCCAGATGAATTTTTTCAATGCTTCCCTTTCATCTTGTGCAATACCATTTATACAACTTACTCTACCCTCACGTCATAGGTAATTCCACCTCAAGGCTTAGTTAGCAGCAGTACCGTTCTTTCTGCAAGACTGGAGATGTAAATTTCAGCACGGGTGAGGAGGGGAAAGGCTTGAAATGTGGGACTTTGGAAAGCACCAGCATCCAATGCCCACAAAAAGTACAAATGCTAAAACACCCTTCCCCACTAAGTTTGGATGGTCCAAGAGGGAGCTTGAAGGGAAGGAAACAGGATCTCTTCCCCCACCCCCAAATTTGCTGTTAGATCGATTGATTTTTTAGTGCATGGTGAACACAGCCCAAGGGAGGTGGGGCTTCTTCCTTATGTAACTCACATTTTTAGAAGCACCATCTTTTGTTAAAATGAGTGAGGAGGCGGTGGTGTTGTTATGTTCAGCCAAAAATAAACTGTTCTCAAAATTTGCTAAAGGCTTGGAAAATGGGACTTTAAGATTGTGTGAGAATTTTTTACTGATTATTGGTAAACTCCAACGCACTACTGAATGCCTTAAAAATCAATTTGTCCAAAGTTGCAAAAGGAATTTGATGTTCAATATGAAGTATTAAAACTCAAAGTTTGTTTTAACATCTAGAGCCCTAAATGGCTTGGGACCTGGCTACTTGAAGGACCGCCTTTCCCCATATACTCCCATATACCCACCCATTTTGATCTGGGAATGAGGTTCTTCTGAAAGAGCCATCCCTAAAGGAAGTAAAAGGGATGGCAATTAGAAGGGCTGCACCCTCCCTTTGCCAAGGGCTTCCTGGAGAGGTCCACCTTTCACTACCTTCATTTCAGCACCAGGCAGAGGCTGTTCTCTTTTGCAGGTATTTCGAGACCTGATTTCATCAACATGTTGTAAGATCTCACTCTACCACCCCATCTCGCCCCCCCACCCCGCTCCCATATTTAGAATTGTAATGTTAGCCTGGTTGTTGTTGTTGTTGTAGGCCTCTTCGAGAGCCCTGTTGGGCTATTCGGAGGCCTA